AATTCAAATGAAAAAGACAATTACAAAATTTATTTGAAATTGTTTGCTCATTTCTGAACTTGTGAAAATTTGAGATCTCACATCACTGCTGAATTTTTATTTAATCAAAATTATTAAATAAACTTCTAACTTTTACAGAAATTGTTGTTGCACTGTGAAAGAATAAAATTAAATATACTCATAATATTAATGCTTAATAATGATATGATTATCACTATTAACAGTAATATTATTAAATAAATACAATGTAGAGATTAGATTTCGTTTTCGCTTTATTGGTTTTGGCACTGGATCGCATTCCGACACTCTGACACAGTACCTGCTCCGCGCTCAGATTTGCTGCACTCATCGTTCTTACGTCCTCGTGGAATCCACATCGACTGAAGGAGATGCTTTCGAGCGTCTTCTTGAGATCTATCGACTGAATGTATGCCTCGACGAGATCAGATAGAGTGATCTCCTTCGCGTAGCGTTCGTGGAAGTTCGTCACTATCCCCTCCCAAGTCATCACATACAGAATTATTTTGGTCCTGCATTTCATCTCTGACCCAAGTTTATAAGCAAGTAGGTCAGATTTTAAACAATTGCATTAATAATATGATAAATAATAATAAAAGCACTGCTAAAAATATTGCGATGACAAGTAATGTAAATTATTCGAAATTTTTATGTTAATACTTTTTTCAAGTGAAATTTTCATATGTTTAAGAAATGAGTTCTCATAATGCAATCTTAATTTTTCAAGTTATTGAAACTTCGTTTTGTATATTTAGCTTATCACTTCATGCAATGATTTATGATAAAATGCTTGGCAGCTGACCCCAAACATTTGTTCATATGGTCATTAAATAGTCTTTTCCATTTCTATGCAAATTGCAGCACATCGAAATCGTAGCTTTCAACTAACATTTTCAATTTCTGCAATTTTTCTGCAAGGAATATTTTTAACCTTTTCAATCGGCTAAAATAAATAATGTATAATATTTGCTTATTAGTAAAGGATAAATAAGTTAAAAAAATAACAAAGCTAACTTTGTGAATAATCATAACTATTTCCACATGTCATCTTATCACTTTATTTACTATACAAGTTAGCGATATTCAAATACTTTTAAAAAGTATACTCAATGTTATAATATGTCAAGAGTATTTTTCATAATATTTATTAATGATAATCACAGAGTTCATATATATTTCTCAGTGCAAATAAGTTCAATGTGGAGATAATTATTCATATTAAATTTTTATGTAAAGCAGTTATAATATTTATGCAAAAAGTATTAAGATATAATTTTTAATTTTTTCATTTCATCAATGACATCCTAACATAATAATATGCAAAAATTTAAATAGGGCCTAATTTAACAATTTACTAAAAACATGTTTTAAAAAATTTTGAGATATTATTAGTTCAAGACAGATAATTCATTCACCAGAAAAGGTCAGTCAGTAAAAAGTTATTGCAACTTTGAGAGGTCATTCAACATATCTTCTCAATTATCTATTCATCTGCCCCTCAACCATTCCCCCTTTATTCAACGGTCAAAATCAGCGCGTTGCTTCAATTTTTCTCCCTTTTATATTTCTTTATCAAATTTATTTATTTATTCATTTACTTATTTATTTATTTATTTAAATGTGAGTAAAAATTTTATTTTGATCCAAATTATATTTTAAATTTTTAACAATGTAAACCAAAACTTCTGTACATAATAAATATCAAATTTTACCACTAAATTAATGAGTGATTGTTTTCATTATATAAGAAATATTTTAATAAGTACTAAAGTACACTAAATCATTTTGTCATATTTTTTATATGAAAATTATCAAAGAGTTATCACTTTGAATGTATAATATTTACCTCCAAAATAATTTTAGTAAGTGAAAAAAATAATATCAATTTGTTTTTTAAGCATTGAATTTATTAGTTTATTAAAATATTTAAATTTTTGCACATTAATTAATGTGATGACCTTTTCAAGTTTTTTTTATTATCAATTGTACATATTGAAATACTCGTATATTTATCACTCTAAAACTAATTCTTATTTGCATTTAATTTTTGTCACATTTTGGACACGCAAAAATAAAATATTAAATATGCTTTAGTGTTAGTCGAATATAATTATCTAATAATAAAGTCATTGAACTGTTTTTCTTTGCTAGTTCTCAAATTTGTTCGACTGCAGCATTGCATTTAACTCACTTAAAGCTAATGAATTAATAATTTAAAAAGTAAAAACCTAAATTTTGATTACATAAATTCGTGTCATATGAAACTGCTTTGAAATAATTTTTCTAATTATGAAAATCAAAATACTATAAATTCCACGACTGTTTCTCATATAAGAGTTTATTATTTACAAAATATTACCAATTTATTAATTTAATTTTATTGCAATGATAAAAATCACTTTTTGAATTTAAAATTCATTTTTGTATTTATATTTGCTTATATAAATACAAACGAAAGAATACTTTTTAAAAATTTTTAATTTCAAATTGTAAAAAAAGTATTTATTATTTATGTCAAAATTACGATTAAAATTTTTTAAATTTTCGAATGTTATCATGAAAAATTATTGCAAATGCATGCAAGCAAATTTTTGTTGTCTTTGTAAGTTTGAGTATAGTATATTTGCTAAAAAATTATACAAAATTTTTTGATTTTTGTTAATTAATCAATTACTAATTTGGTTGAACTTTAAAGATGCCAGTAAAAAAAATTTTTGAAAATTTTGAAATTTAAATTAGCAATAAAGTGATTAGTATCAAATAATAAGTTAAAAACTGAATCTCTTCATAATTTGTTGCTCAAAACACTGAAATATAAAAAATTAAAGTAATTTAAAGTGAAGGCTATTTCTAAATTATTTAATAATTATTTATTATGTAGCAAACAAATTTATTTAGTGAAAACATATGTAATTTCTTTATACTAAAATCAAATTACTGAATTTGTCCAACTATTTTGTTTGCACAATTTAATCTCCTACGACTACTAAATTTGTTTTTATAAATTTTATTTATCTGACTTTTTGCTAATACACTTGTTTCTATGGATCGGTTTTAGTAATTTGATTAGATTATTGATATATTGTATAATTACCCTTTTAAATTATGCAAATTTTTTGTTGCAATACAGCAGTTCACTTAGCATTATAACGAAAAATGTTAAATATTCTTTATATCATGAATTTTGAATACTTTTATGTGCATTCCGAATTTCAGTAAAAATTTCCTTTTTTTTGCAATTATTGAAAAATTACCAGGCTCATTTATATATTATGCAACCTTCGACCCCAATAGAATCTAAGGCGCTTCTATATTTTATCTCTTCCCAGCAGAGATTACTAGTAATTGCATTTAGTTCTTGTATTACATCAGTCTGTTGGTCAAGCAAATGTCTCAGTCTAACAATGACCATATTTGCTTTTATTATATTTTTACCAGTAATTATTGTGATACAGCTGTGCTATTCAACACAATCCTTTTCTGTATATATAAAACATTGTTTCATATTTGATGACACGTAACACGCATAAATGTGTTACGTATGCATGTGATAGATTCAGCTCGAACAACAAATTATTTTCTTTCTTTCCGTTACGTTGCTTTCATCGCTACAATATTTTTTGATTTTCTTGAACTTTCTTGAAACTCTAATTATAATAATTTTTTTTTCTTCTGTAATTTTTTTATTTACTATTTTGAATGTAAATTATAGTTGTTTTTTGAATGACTGTGACAAACTACTTTTGCGAAAAATCAGATTTTTGGTAATAATAATAAAAATTTCTTAAAAGCAATTAATGAATGAAAAACTTTTAAGTGAAAAAATTGCTTGTGTTTTTTGCTTGTGCTTTTTTATTATTTAAACTTGTAATATGCATTAAAAGCAGAGTTATACTTTCCGAATAATTAAAAATTAATTTATATCAGAAAAATCTTTACATTTTTCATGCATTTTATTGTTTTTAGATGAATTTTGCAATTTTTTCCTAGAAATATTAAAAAATTATAAAGTATACAAATTATGAATAGCTCATATGCAAATTTTTTTGAGTTTAAAAATATAAAATTCACACTAGTTCTGCTAAAAAAACCTGTACTTTACTTATATTAACTCAGCAAAAAGTAGAAGCTAATTAAGAATTCAAACAGATTACAAATGTAACATCCGTAACATCTTACTTTCCTTCATTGATTAAGCTAAAATTGATCAGTGTATGAATTGAAAGTTAGGAGATATCTGATAAGAACTTAATATTCATATCACTCATTTCAGAAGAAAACACTTTTTTTAATTGATAAAAGTGTAGCTTGTGACATTATCATGTGTTATTTTTCAATTTCTTTTTGAATTTAAAAACTTTTGAATCGTTTTTTACGTTCTCATTTATTTTTTTACGGATAATTTTCACTTTTTGAATTTTTAAACTAATATTGTTCTTAAATTCTATTTTAAATTTTTAAGCTTATTTTTTCACAATGAAAATAGCAGTAATTTATGAAAGCATTCATAATTTGATTCAAAAATTTGAATCTCTTAGTAAACAAAATTCAACTTTGAAAATTTAACTTCAGTATTCGAATTGTCTACGTTTTAGTTGAGACTATCTAATCTGCTCTTAAATTAGTATTATTTTAGTGCTTTTTACGCTATTTTAAATTATTAGATAAAATCACAAATATAATTTGATATGAACTCATAGTCTGTATTAGACTTTAAGTAGAAATTTTGATTGCAACAACCAAAAGTTTTTTATATTTACAACAAAAAAAATCATGCTAAAAAATGTATACTTTGTAATTTACACTTTATTACAAAATTCACATGTTAATCATTTTATATAACAATTAATTTAAAAAATGACGTTAATTTTTTTTCTGAAATTTTAAAATTCAGTAATTTTTTTCCTGACAGATTATAAGGTTCTTTCATTTTAGTTATAGTTAAAAAATTAACAAACTGATTTTTAGATATAATTTTGGGAATGTATTTGCAAATGTCAGCGCTGATAATAACTGCAGCAACCTTAAAAGCATTCACAGTATTGCCTTATATGCAAATTGACTTTATTCATTACTTACGATTAGCACAATGTGATGCAAAATGTGCTGAAAAGGTGGTAATTAAATATTCATATATTATTTCAGAAGACGTGTATTGTTAAGCAGATGAAAAATATTTACCATTATTGATATCTTCACATTTAAATTCAAATTTTGTGTGAATTCACTTTTTTTATTAATTGATAATAATAACTCATACTTTACTTGAGTATTATCATTTTTGCAAAAAAAAATTATTAAAATATATTGGTGTATTTAAAGTTTTCACTACAATATTATGATTAAATCACTATCAAAATCAAGTTTCTTTGCATTTCTGAACAGTAAATTATTACTCTAAAATAAGTTTAAGTAATTTTGATCTAACAATTTTCAGTACGGTAAATTGACTAGAAGACGATTGAATGATGGGACATTTGTTGAATATTATGGCAACAGTGGAAAAAATTACAAACTTGCAAGTTTATTTTATCTTGAAAATAAGTAATATTTCGAAAAAATATGCAAATCTGTAGTGCATTTAGGAATATATGCACTAAAAATTTTAATGATTACAAGATAATTATATAAAATGAGTATGTTAATATATAATTTTATTACATGTCAAAACAGTTTTTTATCTCATTCCTTATGTTGTACAAAAATGAATTCTGATGTCAGCACTTTCCACTCGGATAAAAAAACGCCAGCTGAAGTTCTGAAATGTATTTGTATCAATATTTTTAAATTGTAAAAAATAATGCTAAAATATTATTAAAAATTACAGTGTATTAGTTATCGCAAGAAAATGATTAAAATTAGTGTATCATTTGTATTAATTATGATTTTGTCAAAAAAATGTATCCTTATTACATATCAATTTCAAATCAATTTTACTACTAAAATTGGTATATAATTAATAATTAATTAAATATTTTTCATTATTTTCATGCAAATTTTTTTCAAACTTGCGTAAAAATTGCTTTTAATTTGAAAATTGAAAATGTAAACTCACGTATATATTACGTTGCAGTGTGTAATTGGTTGTAATCGACAACAAAAAACAACACTACGACAAAAAAATTTAACTGAAAATGTGTTACGTACAGGAATGCAGTTTTGGAGAGATACAAATGCTTATGCAAGTGAAACTTTAGAAATTTAGTAATTTGAAAATTTTTAACCAAAAAAGCCAAATCTTTTAATCATTTCAACTAAAAATTCATATCTGATATATAGCGCTTAATATATTTGAATTTTAAGCAATTACTATCAGGTATTTTAATATTGTTACAAAAAATTGTTGTTATCATTATTATTAAGTATTACTGTTATCATTATTATCAAGTTATTATTAAGTGATAATGATAACAACACAACGAAAAGAGCATAATATTTTAGGATACACTATTAAAAAACTTAATTCGTAACTAATTTTTAAATACTTCTATACATTTATGAAAATTTTAATTCTATTTTAGATAAAATGTCTCAGAACGCTTAAAATGTAAATATTTTTCGTATCAATGTTTCTGATATAGTCTCTTCTGCATAAATGTTGCACACGATACTCGACAAATACTAAGTATCGATGATCAGAAGCAAAAATAGATTAAGGCAGAAATAAGTTCACAAATTTCAAATTCAGATCTACTAGATCAGTCGCCAATAGATCGCGCTCGATTAGGATGTTTTGATACATGGCAAGAATACAGTGATATAGAAGCCAGCGCAGAAGGATTAATATTTGTAGAGTTAAAAAACATGCCAAGGACACCAATTCGATATATTGTGCAATGGAAAGCAAAAAGTTTTGGCGGTACTTCGAATAATAATAAACATTGGATTACTGCTTCAGTTTGTGCTAATCACTTCAAATATTTCCAATTTTTTTTAATGAAAATCTTTAAATTATTATTTTATTTGAAATTAAACAATTATGCAATTTTTTATTTTGAAATTATACAATTTAATATTTGAAATTATTAACAAATATACAATTTTATACATGCAAAATTTAAAAAGTATTAGTAAAATAAAAACTCATTGCTTGTACAATTTGAAAGACATTTAATGATAGGTTTGTTACAATGATTGTGAGAATTTAAATAATAAAACAATGAAGAAATTAATTTCAATTAACAATTCTGATTTAAAAAATATTTTTTAAATTCTTAGTAAAATTTTAGATCGAGTCTGAGCCAATTATCAAAGTTGATGGTATGTTAGCATCATTACAATATAAATTCCTGATAACAGCTGTTGATCCCAGTGGACGTCTAGGTTCTGGAGTAACTACTGACTGGATAAAATTATCTAAATTTGAAGATGAATTTCACGTTCCTGGTTAAATTTTTAGCGTTTTTTACAGTTAACTATTTTTATAAACTTTCTAATAATTTAATAATGAATCTAATAGAGTTTTTGATAATATAAACTCAATTTTAATATAATTAATAAAAAATGCTTTATTCTAAGGCAAGATTCATTGCTTAACAATCATTCTGATCAAGTATTCATTACCTTCTTAATGTCCCTGATTATATACTATATCCGTTTGAACTTTTTTAACGGTTCAAAATTAATCTCTCAAACATCTTTTCTGCTGATCACTTTTATATAAATATTTTAGTATTGTATTTTTTCTGCACTAATTTAAAATAAACTCAAATATAACCCATAGAAACAAAAAAAGACTTGAGAAATAAAAAATGCAAAAATTTACTTTGTTATTATATTCGTTTATTGCTGAAATATATGAAAGTAGTTGACAAGAACAAATTTGCTAAAATAAAATGTCTACTGAGATAGAACTTAAAAAATATGCAAAAGTGAATTATCAAAAGTAATTTGTAATGAATATGCTAGAACTTGCCTAATTAGGAGTACAAGCTCATAACACTGAAAACTACTGATCTAATTGCGATTACACTTATAAATTTATTATATATTTAATATTCAGACTTATTCGAATTTATTTTGGAAGATAATCCGTATTATCCATTGCAGTACGATTTAATGATTATTAAATTATGTCATATAAACATAAGTGCTTTTTTGTCGCTTTTAGCAAAATCGAGTTATATCCGTTAATCATAGTAATAACTAATGATTTTTAACTTAACATATTTCTTGTTGATAATTACTTTACAATTTCATCAAAATTTGTTAATTCTTGATCAATCCAAGTTAATTTTGAGCATATTTTGTAGCTCAACCGATATTGATAACAACACATTACAATACTGATTATGGTTTACATGCTATTGTCGAATTATCACAACTATTTTATCATTCTAATCTAAATTCACCAGACGATGGAAAACCTAAGAATTGTCATTACAGTATGCTTGTAAAAAACGAAACTTGGCATCAAGCAGTGGATTTTACATTAGTTAGCATAACTTTTCATTGATTAAATCAGTTCTACAAAATTTTGCGAAGTATTAAATTTTTTATACATTCATAAAAATTGATCATAAAATAAATGTAAAGCCGTTTATTTTCATTTTTTTAATTAATTTAATTTTTTTAAATTATAATTCTTTGCAGGATTTTGGACACGGTATTTTACTGATGAATTTGCAATTTTCAAGTGAATATTCGATAATACTTGAAGCATTACAGTTAGTAGACTTTAATGCTCAAGCTAATATAGCAAATGCAAATAGTTCGAATCGCATAATTCAAGAAAAGTTCATAACCCCAACTTGCAATGAAATATTTGGTTCAGGAAGTCTAAAATGTGGTAAGGATTTTTGAATAAATTTAAACTAATAAAATATAATTAATATGTCTTATTTTGTAAAATTTTTAATAAAACTAATGCATTTCTATGTCAAGTACAATTAGATAATTGTTACTCTTTAGATGAGAATTTATTTTCAGTAAAAATTAATTTCTTTTTTAGATCCTGAACCGGTAAAAAATTTAAACGCGACAGTGCAACTCAATGGTACTGTAAATATACAGTGGGTACCATCAAGCAATTCTAATACCATACTTTTTTATCACTTGCTTTATTACTCAACAGAAAATAGCAGTGATTGTGATAATAATACACCAGGCTTATATATCAGTGCGGTCAGTTGCTGTTTGACAAATTATGCAAATTTTATTCTTGTATATTTGACATTTATTTGCATTTCTACGCGCATGTAATTAACATATGTGATTTCCTAGAAAATTCACAGTAATCTTAAATTATAACATAATTAAATTTTGATTCATTATAGTTTCTTTGTTTATAAATCTTGTATTGTTTTCTTTTACTGAAATTGAAGTTTATGAAGAATTTCGCAAACTACTGACAAAAATAATGTAATTACAAAATTTTAATCGAAATTAATTTTATTTATTTCTTTAATTTATGCAAAGTTTATATTTGTAAAAGCTATAATAACTTTTTAATTTATAAAAGTTTTAAATTATAATTCTATTTTAAACATTTTTAGAATTTAAGAAAAACAACAATACAACTGAAAAAGCAAACCAATTGCGAATATTTGATTAAATTGATCAATTACGATTTGATCGGACGTGATGCTTCTGCTGAAGTTATTGTTCAGATGCAAACGATACATCCCTTAACCTCAGTGTTATTAATAATTTTAGCATGTTCTGTAATATTATTAATAATTTTGATCATTCTGTTAAACTATTTTGTGCATATGTATTGTTGTAAAAATTCTAACTCTCAACAGCTGCATTTTTTATTAAGTTCGGGTCAAAAATATGTTGTTACACTTTGTTAATACGTTTTGGAAATGAAAATAAAAATAAAAGATAGAGTGATACTTTATTATTTAGTGTAAATTTGTATAAAAATGTACAAAAATTGAGAAAATTTCCAAGTATTTTTAATAAATATTACATTTCTAATGTTTGTTTTTTAAGTTAGCTTAATAATATTATGCCATTCAAATTATTAGTAATTGTGCATATGTATTGTTTAAATAATTTTGAAATAGCTCATTTTTGTCACTGTTATTAATATTTTTTTAAATCACAAAATGAATTTAAAAACAAATTAAAGTTATTTGCTTTGCATAATTGTGCAATTTATATTTAATTTCCACAAACATATGTTAGATTCCTTTTTTTTTTCATCTATTTAAAATTAAAAACTGCAAAAGTCAGTCTTTCTATATCCATAGTGACCAGTAATTCAATAATAATCATAAATACGAGATAGTTCATTGACTTTTTGAGGCTACTTTTTCATTAATCTCAAGACTTTATAAAATTTTATTGGTGTGGCTAACTGTTGAAAATAAATCCAGCTATACAGCTTTAACAGCATAGTCTCTGGATTTGTGTTGTTCATGTTCTCTATCTTTTATTTAGTAATTCCTTGTAAAATTTTTTAATTTTTTTTTGTTGAAAAAAATATTTTATTGAAAATAATTGACCAAAATAGTGTTATTGACCAAATAATTATTGACCAAAATAATTTAATTATTTGTTTTTATTTTTGATCTTAAAAATTTTTCGTTATCTCTGACCCTGTTTTTTCCCTACAATCATAAGTAACTAGATATTATATTAGCACATAAAATAAATCATCTCATTTCTTGCTGGCTAATCCGGAATATAAACGCATAATTGTGCGCAGTAAGCAAGTTTAACCTTCAAAAAAAAGAATAAAAGTTTAATAAATGGTTAAATTCTCTTAATAAAATTTATTTTGTATTTGTATAATATTTCAGTGGCTCAACGATTTAAAACACATTTTCAAGGTCTTAAACAATATTGAACTCAATAGCTACTAATTTGTAGAACATTCTGTTAATGAATGTACAAATGCAAAATATCTATGTTAAACTTGTGAGCTCATTTGCATATTATTTACAACATCTCATTTGCATATTGATCACGGCAATTTTGATTTTAGTTGATTAAATTAGCAGAAAAATATTTGATTAAATATGAGGAGAAGTAAGACAGAACTACAAGTTAATGCTATTTTGATTGCTTTATGTAATTCCTTAGCTTGCTAATTTCGCATATATAGTGAAATTGAAATAGAATGTAATTTCAAGAAAGTAAATGAAATTTTCTTCTAAAAAAGCTCTAATTTTTGAGTTATTTTTTTGTGATAAAAAGAATAGTTAAAAAAAATATGATTGATATTAGTAAGTTCAAAATAGTTCACAAAAATGGTAATGAATTGCACAGTATTTAACAATTCAAATCTTACATCAAAGTTTATAAATAAATTTAAATTAAGTTAGTTGGGACAAAAAATTAGACTTGCGAGCATTAGCCACAAGTTAATATGAATAAATGATAAATAAGAAATATTAATGAACTTGATTAAACTATAAATAATTTATCATAATTTAGGATACATATTCATTTATGCTTAAGTAATCTAAGCAAAAAAAAAAGTATTTTAAAGACAAGATATTAATTTATGCTACTTTCAAGTTTGAGTCTTTCACATTCATCACTAAAAAAGTCTGGAGATTCTTTATTTTCTATTTTTTTGCTTCAGAAAGTGAAAATTTTAACGGCTGTGATTATTTTTTATTCATAATTATTGTTGAAAGCATAATTTAAAATCTAAACTACGTTGCTAACACTTTTACTTGACTAATCTTAGAATGCTTCTTTCGGTTATTTATTATCAATTTCAATTAATTCCTTGAGTAAAAATGATGAATTCTTTCTGTTCTGAAAAAATAATAAATCTTTTTTTCCCTCCTTTAATTCTTTCTTATTTATTCTGATAAAACTATAAGTTCTTTGTGTTAAATAAAATAATTCTCAACTTATGCAGATTTATTCATGCATCCATGAATTTATACCCATGAGATTTCAGTAAAAGCTACAAGTTTGACTAAAAAGCTAAAATCGAGATTAAATACTTTCTGTCTATTAGCTTAGCTATGATATGATAAAGACTTATGCTTTTAATCAAACAATTCAAATCATGTAAGACTAAACCATTTACCACTGCATACAATTTACATGGCGCAGTTACTTTGAATTTATATTTGATTGTAAAACAAAATAATAAATATTAACAAGACTTACTTAGTCTGCAGAGAATTAGCTTAGGCTAAGTCTTAGGCTTAGGCTTGCTAAGCATACAAACTTTTTTTGGTACTAGCATTTTTGTTTTGTTTGTTTTTATATCGAATTTTAAACCTAAACCCACTAGTATGCACATAAGCAATTAATAATGTTTGAGTGTTTATATTTGCTTTGTTCCCTATTGCATTTGTATTACATTTACGCTTTTTATGCAAAATAAAACTGTACTGATAAAATTGATTATTTATTAAACAGATTTTATCAGTAAACTTTGACCCTTCATAATTTTTTGAGATATTATGCCTTCTCCGTATATTTTTATTCCATATTTTTCATCAACAAACGTCAATACTGATAGTGGTAATAATTATCAAAGGCGTTATCAAGAATTATCAGCGCTGCTTCCGTTACATCTTACACATAACACTATCAGGCCAGGTAATGTGTATTTTTCGTATTAATTTTAATCTTATTAATTATTTTTCATATATTTACTTTAACTTGGTCAGAATTTAGATTCAAAATTAGGATGATAATAGAAGGCATAAGTTGTGGTATTACTATAAGTTAAGGGAATTCTTGCTTGCAAAAGTTTAATGTTTACATTCAGCCATCAAAGCTTTTTTAATTTATTTTTTTATAGTAATAAAAAGCGGTCAAAGGTTACGCCTTTTAATTAATCACTGAACTTAAACTACTTATAAAATCATAATAAACCTATTTTTTGTCGTATTTGACTCATAATATTTTATTAATTGCTAGTAATCTTTTAATAGTTTACTTAATTATTCTTTGCTCAAAATTAATCAACTATTTTAGAAATTATATTAAATCTTTACTACAGTCTTTATATACTCGTACTTCATTGGCACTCTAAATAAATTCAATAATTACTCAAGATAATATTAACACAAAATATTTACAGCTTATCACAACGAATATTCATGGTTTATAACATCTATGATGATTATCCTACTGGCTTCTCTACTGTATATGTTCGTTATGTTATGTATGATACGACGTAGGCGTACTTACTATGTGCAATTTTACTGATGTTTTGAAGTCTGAGACTTAAAAATATAGTATTTTGGAAGTCAAATATACAAATTCATGCTAAACTTATCTGTAGATGGCAAGGGTTATAGGTCAAAAAAATTTTTAAGATCAAAAGACATGCTAATCTTTTTTCTATTTTCGTCTGTTATTTATGGCACAAGTTTCTAGAATAAGTATAGATATAGTATAATTTCATAAAGTGCAATTACTTTAATAATTAAGTAAATTACTTTTCAGGAAATTAATAAAATGTTGTGATGTATATAAAATTATTAAAAATTGCATCTGAAATTGCGCAAATTTTTTGGTGACTGATCTCTATTCTGTACAAATTCGATACTAATTCTCACTATTTATTGTAATAATTTGAAGATAGTACTTTTTGATTTGAATATGTTATAAACTTTATTCTTTCTTGCTGATCCTTGTAAGTAATGGATATAGTTATATAGAATACTTACTTTTACTATTAATGGCTTAAGGAGATTTCTAGCAACTAGTATAAACTAACTAAAAATCTAAAACCTTAGCTTTAAACTTTTCATTTTCTTCATTTTGATTCTGCAATAACCAAACAAACACAGGAATAGAACAAAATGATTATCAGATATTTCACTCAGAATTAAAAATTTGCATCTTTGATTAGTTGCGAATAAATATGCTAATATTATAAGGTAGTCGTATTTTACTTGAAACTACTTTCAGACTAAGTCTTGAAAAACAAGAAAAAACCAATTCTAATTAGATTAAATCACTTTTGCATATACTCGCTATTAGTTGAAAAATCCCTAAAGATCTGATAATGAATCTAAAAATTTGGCATTTTTGGCAGCCATAAAAGTTTGCTAATAAAATTAAATTTATCATACATTCTGGATACTTGTTTCAATAGTGGTAATTGAAGAATAAGCAAAAAATAATCACACAATTTACTCAAACGCCACTTGCTGTTATTATGTCCATTAAAATCACCTCACAATGCGTTATTACCTATAGTTAATCAGTTCATTTTTAGATATTACCTTCTAACATTACAAGAACCTTTCGCATAAACACCTCTTCATAATCAACGACTTCAATTTGAGGAGTTTCTTGTACAGTTAATCTAAAGCCTCAGATATTCTTCGGTCTATTCAAATGAACAATGTATTCTATTACGGACAATTAAATCCTCAAGACGTGATAGTAATTCACTTCACACGGCTAGTACCCCATCCAAAAAAACAAATCAACGTTTACTAATCAGTCCTAATTTGATCCTGAAAGAAATAGTCTTTCGATTATGTGGATTTATTTTGCAACACATGACAGCATAACGAAAATACTACAAAATTTAATTTTTCACTCTTCTATTTTGAATATTTAGAATTCAACATGTTATTAGCAAAGAACTTTTACTGTTAAAGCAGTACACAAGACACTAATACAAATTACAACAAAAACATGAGAGCTTGAACCTATTACAACGACAGCGATTAATAAATAAAAAAATACATGTGTTTTCAATACGATAAATCACAGGTGCAGACTTTTTAGTACTGGAATATCCAGATCAGCAGCAAGTGCAGCACAGATTAGTGCTGGACCATAACCTGTTGCTCGATCGGAATTTTCTACTGTTGAGGCTATGTCGAGGTGTATCCAATTTAGACCATTTCCAAAATCGATATGCGACCCAATGAAGAGACCTGCGACTGAGCTTGATGGACCCTGAACATTACTTTTTAAATTTCAAGAGGCGTGATGTATTTCTATCTTATTCCTAAAACCTAAAATAAATATGCCTGTAACTTAATAAACAATTTATCACGAGGTGAAAGGACAAAATGAAATGGATTTTAATTCTAGAATTTAATTCATTTATTGGCGCATAATATTATTACTAGCTTTTATTCAAAGAAATATAGATGCTAAATCGCTTATGTTACTGTAATCTTACTTATTACAAATCAAATATGATTCGAACCTGCATTTTACCGAATGTCGAATTACGCATATCAGCGACAGGACTCTTAAGATCATTGAAATGTATATCTGGACAAAATGGTAATGGATGCACAAGATCACCGCTAGCTCTACCAGCTTTGCATATAAGATCCTCCCACTTATCGCTATTAGTAAGTACTGCAGCATGAACTTTTCCAGTTGCATATGCTTGAGCACCAGTTAAAGTTGCCATATCAATAATTGTATCAGCATGAAATTCAATAATCATAAATTCTCATTATACAATTAAAAAACGAAAATGTTATTTCACTTCTTCAAGTACCATTACTGCCTGTAACTGGTTTGTAATGAGGATCTATTTATGAAGGTTTTAATATGCTGGTTTAGAAAATTTATAAATCTTGTGCAACTTTATTCAAGTAACAATCTAAATCTGAAGAGTCTTTATATGATGCTTCATGCAAGTTAACAATAAAGTAAGTAAACAAACCTTAAGCACATTTTTTGCATAATATACACCATCAGCTAGTACTAAACGACCTTCTGCATCAGTGTTTTGTATTTCAACTGTCTTGCCACTTAACATCGTTATTATATCATCCGGACGACTGAAAAAAACAGTTTTTTTTTTCAGAAGATAATAAGGAGGAAATAAAATGTTACCAAAAAAATTTTAATATCTGATTCAACTTTTTTAAACGGGCTCAGACTGCTGAAAACTTTTTTCCCGTTCACTTTAAATTATTTTATTATATTTCAAGAAAACATTACTTTGCTATATTTGAAACAGCGTTATCTGCAATACATAATAAACAGTGCAGATTTTGTTTAAATCCCAATTTGACTAATGTATGGAATGAACAAAGTAAACCAGCTGCACCGCCCATATCAGATTTCATACCTGCGAAAAACTGTTACCAAATCAATTCATCTTTGCAAAATGATTGACAGTTTTAAAAAAGAAAGAAATTTTAGTAGCTATCAAGAATCTTGTTTAGGTCAACAAAATATCGGTATATTTCACTAAAAATATTTTGTATTAAGTGGGCGATTATAACAAACTCGACTTCACCGTTCTCGCACAAGAATTCTGGTTTCAAAGCCACGATAAAGTACTTCATCACATGCAAATGATTTTTATTTAATACTTACGAGTTGTTTGGTGAAAGATAGCAGCTAATCGGAAAAACTAGTACTATTTACTACTATTCAATCCCAATTAAAATCTACATATTGAAGTGTGAAAGAACATATAAGATTTAGAATTTTTAATATGGTACCGAAATTTAATAAAAATAATTAATACCGGGCATCCCAGTTTTTGTCTTGATCTGCATACCTCCTGTATCATAAACAATACCCTTCCCAACCAATGCGTATGTCTTTGTAGCATTATTTGGTGTATAACTGAAGCATGCAAAAACTGGAGGAAAAGATGATGCTTTACCAACGTTATATATTCCACCAAAGCCTTGTTCTTGTAAATCGTGACCCTAAATTTCTAAGAAATCTCAACACTCAGTTTCAACTTATAGGACATCATTTGCGATAATTTTTTTTATTCTATCGATTAATAGATCATTTTTAGCTACTATAACTTGACAAAAATCTTGTAATCAAAGTGCAGAGTAACTGAATACTGCTGAAAAAGATAACAACATTTTACCTTAATTATTGTACTTTTTACGTTCGAGAGTTCAGATATTAGTTTCGTAGCTTCTTCAGTGAACTGTTCTGTATTGAGCTCACTGTATGGCATATCGGTTAAACGAGCAGTGTTTCGAACTGATTCTGTCAACGTTTGCAGGAACAGCAGGTCACGATTATCCAACTGCCATATAAAAATGATTAACAAACGAAATAGATGCTTAGTTTGGCAGCTACTCAGACTACTTAATTTCATTTAATACTTAATATTCCGAATTGTAAAAATGATCATATATGTAGAAATGAGTATGCTGTGTCAATTAAAAATCTCCCAATATGATGTTAAAATCTATATGCAAAAATTATTATCAAACTTCAGTACACTAAGGAGAGTAAGCTCGAAAACAAACAAAAAAATGGAGAAAAAATTTTCAGTGGAAAAAAAAAACCTTTCCATCAGTAACAACAACTTCAACTTGTATATTTGTTAAACTTTTTGAATTTTTGGTCGATCGACTATATAGAGGATAACAACGTGATACTGCAACTATACTTGCAGACACATCTTCTAACTTTGCATAAACAACGACAGATACATTCTGAAATATAATTCTGTAAAGAGAATTGAAATATGTTTTATAATGTAAACTTCAATAATTAATTGAAATTTAGTCAATTCAGACAAATCAATCTTAGAGCAGATTCAAAAACAGAATGACGGTGCTAACTTTGACATTATCTGGGTGTCCTATTTTTTTTACTTCTTTCAAAATTGATAAGCAATTTGAAGGAGCATTATGTCGACTGCAATCTTCCGCCAAAGCAATAACCTTTAATTAAAATTAGTCACAAACACAAAGCATGGAAAAAAAACCTACTCTACAATCAATTATTATGATTATATTATTCTAAGATCTCAAATCGTTTGTGAGATTCCATTTAACAGATGTTACATCAGCAATTTTTCAACTGCTGTGATAGAGACTCTTTAACTTTTAAGTGAAAACTGCTCATTCATTGCTTTTTTCATCAAAAACCTAATCCCTAACTATCAACAAGAATAAAATAATTTATAATATTACGGCATAAAATCATAACACAGTTTAAAAAAATTTCATTACATGATATTATAAAACCAATAAAACAGTACTTTCAGAAATATTCCAAGTCTTTTAAATCATGATGCATAATATTCAAAAGAAAGAGGAAAAACTATAAATTTGTGATCGAACATACAGTGGCAAGATTCAGATAAAGTGGAACCGCTACTGAACTATCCTTTGTCGAGAGTTCTAATGCTGATTGCCATAATTTCTGGCTGACGAGACCAGATAATTTTGCTTCGAGACCATGCTCATATTCAATATTTTTCAGATGACTTGTTTTACCCACTAGCAAAACTTGAGTACCTTTTGATAACTGCAAATTTGTGTCAATGCCCTGTCTTATAATTAACGTCGCCATGTTTGCCAATCCTGAAAATTTTTTTTAATGAAGCGAAGAAATGATTTTACAGAGCATAATATGCTTACAGTTCAATATAAATTTCAGTACATATAAATACATATTAACTATAAAATTCAGATTTCTGTAACCTCTAAAATCATGTAGTAACACTTCGTTTATTGAAATTTTCTTTGAAGTCCCTGTTACTTACTCAAATATTGCATATTTAATAAATGTATAGCTGGAGGCAAGAACGAATCAAATGAAACATTACTTTACTGGACTAAATTGGAACAGTTGAAAAGACTAATCTACAAACCTCGAAAAAATTTTAATCGATGGATGCTTATGAGATGCAAGAAACCTGAAACTGATAGTTTGTTTTAAATTATATTAACTGATAAATCAACAGAAAAATATCTATCCTAAACAAAACTTGATAAAGCGAAGCATTCTAATAAATTTTCTAGTGCTGCAAAGGAATTTTGCACATCAGGGACTTAAAAATAATTGGATATTAGTTTGGAAGCATATACTACCATTCCGTCCGTCATTAAAAACATGAGTCATCCTAGTATTGACGCCAATTTATTGGCATCAGTTATTGAGATACTAAAATTTGCTAATTTTTTTCCAACTTTCTTCGTGAGATTAATTTTGTCAATGAAAATTTAGGTAATTTATGAAAAAAACAAGCCAACTAAATACTTTGCAACGAATATTCAATATGAATTAAGAGTCAAACTGAGCCAAGTATTCGGAATAACACGCTTTAGAAGAATGAAAGTCAAACGAAGTAATGTAATAACATTTACACTTAATCATACCTTTCATAAATCAATGAGATTGTTTCCTGCGATAATACTAAACGCGTTATTATTAATAAGTCTCTGATATTCCACAAACATACAATCTAAAATGCTTATCGAGATGACAGTGAGGTATAAATGATTAAGAAACAACTGAACACGAAAAACGAACGGAGATAAGTAATTCTGGAAAGTAATATTTATGAGACACCGCAAGCTATACGTGTTTGTGTCACTTTGTTTTAATGCATTACATGTCACTTGATGTTTTAGCGTTAGCAACTTTCTTACTTTTGGTTTTATTTGAAAAAACATGGAACATATTATTCTTACGAAATGAATTTTGAAAAAACTTCGGACGAACGGCTAACAAAACAACATAGACCAGAGAGATACAGAAATGTCCAATAAATAATCATGTCAAGTATTCTGCAACCGGCTGTTTATAGATGTATTAGATAAACCTAAAGCTGTTAATCAAAAGGTTTTTGAAATCAACAATTAAGCTGCTGCTATTGTTAAAAACGCTAACTTTACTTTATTCACTTAAAAATCATAGACTACATTAGTGACATCTTCGCAGCATCATCTAAATTATCACAAGCACAAACTATATGAACAATTCTAACAGTCACACCGGATATTTTAAAAGACAAATAACGATAAGACGACAACTGCGTCACAAGTGTTTACATATTTGTATGTTAATTGCACAAAACTTCATTTTAAATAGACAATTCAAAGTTAACGTCAACTGATGCTGAACGTGCTAACCCTACAATTTGCGACAATTTTACTGACATCTTTGCAGCATCATCTAAATTATCACAAGCAAGCATTCGCAGTTCAGAATGTGCAATCAAGGCTTTAGCATCTTCTACATGAACGCCTGAAAAGTCTGTTTGTTTACATCTTAAGTCTTGTAGAAGCATTCAATTTCAACGTTAATCAACAAGAAGTTTTAACATATTCCTCTCTCAGAAAAATTTTAAAAACATACCTTGAAGACGAACAACAACAGGAATTTTTAGACTGAGCTCTTTCACAGCACTGATCATGCCCTGTGCGATGATATCACAACGCATTATACCACCAAAAATGTTGACAAGGATTGCATTAACCTAGAACAAAAAATCAACGCCTAAACGCCAATTAATGCTAATATTTTCCAGTCTTCTATAAATGTATATTTATGCGACAAACTATTTTACTTTAGTCATATATACTAAAACAGGATACTAGTTTTGGCCACCTTATCTTTATCAGCTGTGATAATCCGAAATGCTTCTGTAACTTGCTCGACTGTAGCACCTCCTCCAACATCTAGAAAATTAGCTGGCTCACCACCATGAAGTTTAATGATATCCATTGTTGCCATAGCTAATCCTGCTCCATTTACTGAAATTGTACAAAATGTTTGGTTGAGTTCTTAAACATGTACATTTGTGAAAAAAAAGGTACTCTAATCTTGAATACAATAACTTCAAAATTCACCCATACAACCAATGTTGCCATCTAGTTTGATATAATTGAGATTTGCTTTAGCTGCACGCGCTTCTAGATAATCTTGTAGATGCCTGTCTTCCATAGCATATAGTTCCTTCTGCCGATATTTCGCATTAGAATCAACATTGAGTTTACAGTCCAAGCAATAAACTGCAAATAAATAGAATTTGAGCTACAAATTTCCATTAAATATTATCAGTTGAACGATAATCAAAAAACTTCAACAGTTTTTTGAGTTTTTAATTTGTTTTCATTTATTTTACCTGATCAGATAGTACGATATTACTTAAAGTACGTGTTTTCTTAAAAAAAAACAATTGAAATCTAGTTTTTTACAAATAAAAAACAAACTCTAGCAAAAACAACTTATAAACTAAAAATTCTAGTATAATAAGATCAACTAACGGTCTCCATGGATGTCTTCTGCGATCGGATTGATCTCAATCAACTTCGCGTCATATTTGATGAATAGATTGTAGAGCTTTTTAAAAATATCTATTGCCTGTTCTTTGCAGTTATTCTAAAATCAATAGCTCAAAATATCTATAAATGCATATGTGCGAAGCAAATACGAATAGATGAAAGCTATACATGAAATACGGCCCAGTTTTAATTTTTTTTTGTGCTAAAATTTTTGACACGAGACGGATGGTGTTTAAGCGTTTTAAAACTGTAAGGATGCGAAAAATACTTTAAACCCCATTTGCTCCGCTAGATGAGCCGCTTCCTCATCTGTCATGCCCTTGAGTATATCAATAGAACACTTCATGATGGCCATAGGATCAGTAGCAGCTACTTCTTCGATATTAACACCGCCTTTTGATGAACCTATTGCCACAAGACCCTGTAACAACACATGATTTTTTCATTGGCAGCTAGTTCTCTCGATATTAAAACCACAATGTGATGGAATCTATTGCTACAGGGACCTGCAATAATTAATGCACCTCATGAAATGACTGAAGTTAAACAAACATAAGGCGGATAGTAATGTAAAACATTAGAACTAAAATGACGGCTTATTTAGAAATACACAGTAGCCCGAATACATTGATCAAAGAAAACCTAGTATGTGCTTCAACCAACACAAAAATGAAACACTTGATTTAACTGCGGGAAGTAACAAAAAAAGAACAATAATGTTGACATCAAATATTTTACCCCAGAAAGTCGATCCATTGTAATGGAGAAATAATATTCCCTACGACTGAATAATCGTTTACAAACCATTACTTCTTTACAAAGTTTACCTTGTGCACCTGTTTGCTTGGTAAAAAGTTTTGAGCCCAACATCAACGTAGCCTTCTCGCGTACTTCTTCTGGTCTGCAATTTTTGAAGGTTTTACATACTTCAAACACTATTATTTCAAAAATGTTAACATTCAATTTACGCATACTTTTTCATAATAACGAAATGAAAAAAGACTTACGAACAAACGATTTGTACTCCACCTTGTAAACCAGAACTAAAATATCCTTTTCCTCGTCCACCAGTCAATACTTGAGCTTTCACAACAAAGTCGCTACAATCTAATTAAAATAATATCGTTGAGTTCATACTGACTACGATTTGACATGATTACCAGCTTGTTATATACTAATGAATGCTTTTCTGGTGCAAGAAAAACAAAGCTTACCTTAAAATCTTACCCCTATTTCCTCATCAAAAAAGTAATATTTTTCGATTTCAGATATTATTATATAATAGTTTAATGTACTAATTGTCTATTTCCGTATAAGAGTAAATTAGATCAACAATTTTCTTTAAAACTGTGTACAATACTATAAACCAGAACAGCTGAACTCTTTAACTAACCAAGTTTTCTAGCATCTTCGTATAGATTGTCTGCACTCTGAGAAACATAAAAAGGTGGTACAGGTATTCCAGCTTGTTTAAGCAACGTTATACCTTGGTACTCTTTTAAACTCAAGTTCCGCAAAATAGACTTGAAAACCTGTAAAGCTTCATAAGAACAAACTACTAACTGTATTACACAATAAATGGTTGAAATCGGTTTTGTCTATGATATTTTGCACTAAATAAAAAGCTGACTAACTGCACTATATATTTCAAAATGTCAAAATCTACAAAAGACCCTGCACAAATAATCTTTGCGATATTTATTTGTGAATAAGAGAAAAAAACTATTGTATTTTACAAGGCACTTCACAAAACTTAATAATACTTTAATTTAAATTAAAAAAAAAAACTTTAACTGACATAATTTGAAAATTCGTATTATAAAAATAGAAAGAGTAGAAACGAAACCTTAAATGTATTCAAAAACGGTTCCTGATGAAACTTGATCATATTTAATTACCCCTGAAAGACGAAATAAAATCTTATGCGATTAGAAGCTTATATAAATACACAGCAATCCAGTTAATTATAAAAAATTCCAAATTATTAAGTAAGAAAATAACACTTTAAAAAAGTTTTTTTTTTGTATTAAAATAAGTTCACAGTAGAGAAAGTTAAACTGATTTTCTGACAAACTGCACCAAAATCTGATAGAAATGAAAGCAAAAAATGATTACTAGCTAGTGGTTTGTTCATATCAAACTAATTCATCAGAGGTTCGTTGCGATACATCTAGCGAAGTATGCTACTAGGATTAGTTTAATTTGAAACAAAACGTTTCAAATAAATCTGCAAAAAACAAATATTCAAAATTGCTTAATGATATAGTAAATAATATAGTATAGTAAATAGAAATTTTGGTAGAAATTTTGTATATTATTGCAATATTTAAGAAAAAAAGCATTATTCAGTTTAATGACTTCGAATTGAACACAAACGCATAAAATTATTTGATTGTAATACGAATTTTTCTTATTCATAATTAATTGTTATAGATGCAGTGGTGAGTATTAATATCCTGAAAGCAATGATAACAGTGATAATAATGAGAATAATAATGATATTGTTGTTATAGTTATTCAGTGCTATTAACAGTTATACATAATTATAACTGTTGTAAATGTAAACTAAAGTCGTATATTTTCAACTCTTCAGATAACCGCAGTGATATTATGATTATTTGGAGTTTTAACTATTGCACCACAATTAATATGAAAATAGCATTATAAACGGCTACTATTGTAAGTAATGAACTAATATAATTTGGATAATGATAATGATAGTAAAATTTGAAACACCAATGTACACATGAAGGAAATTGGTGACGAACTATGCAATTTGAAATAATTGTGATATAATATATGATAAATTCATTGAAAAAGTAAAAAAATATCAACTATATATTTTCAAAAATAAGTTATCAGTATTGCTATGATTTTAGACAATTCAAAATGAAGAATCAAATGAATTTATTTTTTATTAACATTAATATTGTTATCAAAATTAATATTGTTATTATTAATGTTAATAAATTATAAAAAAATAATGATAACTTGAAGATATTTCTTCTCTGATATTTTTTTCTCAAAAATTGCTCATTCAGATGTATAAGTATTTTCTACCAAGGTAAAAAA